TCTCAGTGGCAGGCAGCTATGGACGCAGAGATGGCTTCCTGGAAGTCCACAGGCACCTACGTCGACGCTGTCCCCCCTCCTGGGGCGAACATCGTCAGTGGCATGTGGATTTTCAGGGTGAAGCGGCCGCCGGGTTCTCCGCCTGTCTTCAAGGCGCGTTACGTGGCTCGTGGCTTCAGTCAGCGGCAGGGGGTTGACTACTTTCAGACCTTCTCCCCCACCCCGAAGATGACCACTCTTCGGGTTCTGCTGCATGTTGCTGCTCACCGTGACTACGAGTTGCACTCTCTCGACTTCAGCACAGCTTTCTTGCAGGGCAGTCTGCACGAGGAGATCTGGCTGCGCCGCCCACCTGGCTTCACTGGGTCTTTCCCTCCTGGTACCCAGTGGAGTCTCCGGCGTCCAGTCTATGGTCTCCGCCAGGCGCCACGTGAGTGGCACGACACACTGAGGACTACGCTCGCGGCACTTGGGTTTGCTCCGTCTACTGCCGACCCGTCGCTGTTTCTGCGCACCGACACCTCTCTGCCGCCGTTCTACATCCTCGTGTACGTCGACGACTTGGTCTTTGCCACAGCTGACACTGCTGGACTCGCCTACGTGAAGTCCGAGCTGCAGAAGAGACACACGTGCACTGACCTGGGTGAACTGCGCAGCTACCTTGGCTTGCAGATCACCCGGGACAGAGCACGCCGCACCATTACCCTGACTCAGTCACACATGGTGCAGCAGGTCCTTCAGCGCTTCGGCTTCACGTACTCCTCGCCTCAGGCCACTCCTCTGCCTACTCGCCACTCGCTCTCAGCTCTGCCTTCGGATGAGTCCGTAGAGTCGAGTGGCCCGTATGCAGAGCTTGTTGGCTGCCTCATGTACCTGATGACCTGCACTCGACCTGACCTTGCATACCCTCTTAGCATTCTCGCACGCTATGTTGCTCCTGGGAGACACCGACCAGAGCACATGGCTGCAGCGAAGAGGGTGTTGCGCTACTTGTGCAGTACGTCACGCATGGGGCTAGTGCTTGGAGGGCGCAGTCCAGTGGTCCTCACTGGGCACGCAGACGCTTCTTGGGCTGACGACCAGGCTACGCAGCGGTCGTCACAGGGTTACACCTTCAGCCTTGGTTCCGGCTCTGTTTCGTGGCGGGCTACCCGCTCGTCTTCTGTTCTCGGCTCCAGTTGTGAGGCTGAGATCTACGCTGGGGCTATGGCTGCACAGGAGTTACGCTGGCTCACCTACCTGCTGACCGACCTTGGAGAGCAGCCTCGTTCTCCTCCAGTCCTGTACGTAGACAACAAGGCCATGCTGGCCTTGTGTCGAGAGCAGAGACTGGAGCACAGGACAAAGCACATTGCTCTCCGCTACTTTCTTGCTCGTGAGCTACAGCAGTGTGGACAGTTGCGACTTGCGTACGTGGCCTCTGAGGCCAACACTGCTGATGTGTTCACCAAGGCACTTGCGCCTTGTGATCATCAGCGTTGCTGCACGCAGCTGGGTCTTGTGTCTGTCTTGCCTCACTTGCTCACTTCTTGACCTTCCTTGTACCGTCACATATATATATAGTCTTGCTCTTGCTTGCTTGACTCTTGTATATCTCTATATATATGATCTTGCATGTGAACTGGCCTTGTGGCCCTTGAACTTGTGCTCGGAATGTGTGGTGACTTTGTGATCCACCCTGAGCTTTGCTTTGTTTTGCTTGACTGGTCTTGTGACCCCTTGTTCTCCCCCACTTTGCCTATGGGGGTGTGTCAGAACATTATAGCTTACTTATTTGTGTAGGCTATAGTGGGGTATCCCATAGGGGGTACAACCCAGCTAGGGTTTCCTATTTGTACTCACTTCGTTCATAGTTCACACATTCTCTCGTTCACTTCTTCACAGGGGGGGGGGGGGGGGGGGGGCGGTGCCGCGACGAGGGGCGGGGCCGCGACGGTCGGGGCGGGGCCGCGACATAGGGCGGGGCCGCGACGTAGGGCGGGGCCGCGACATAGGGCGGGGCCGCAACATAGGGCGGGGCCGCAAAGGTAGGGCGGGGCCGCAAAGGTAGGGCGGGGCCGAGCCGGGCAGACGCACGGGCGGCGACGGGCCGGGGCGGGACCGCGACGAAGGGCGGGGCCGAGCCGGGCAGGCGCACGGGCGGCGACGGGCCGGGGCGGGGCCGCGACGTAGAGCGGGGCCGCGTCGAGGGGCGGGGCCGCGACGATCGGGGCGGGGCCGCGATGTAGGGGAGAAGCCCGCCGCGCGCCCCGGGGCGCACAGCGGGCAATGAACCGCCGCGCGCCTCGGGGTGCACGGCGGGCAGAAAACCGCCGCGCGCCTCGGGGCGCACGGCGGGATGAAAAAATGCCGCACGCCACGGGGCGTGCGGCTCAGAGAGTAGTAGCAGTAGTAGCAGCGGAAGCTAAGCGGTGGTAAGCCCACCCACAGGATCGATCCAGGGGGATCGACCTGCTCTGATAGCATGACAAAAGTTAGAAGAAAGAAAGAGGGGTGAACTAGCAGAAATGGGGATACAAATAGCAAACCCTAGAAGGGTTGTACTCGCTATAGAGCACCCCACTACAGGCTAGAACATAAGAATAATATTCTGACACGTTTAAGGCGCCATTGCACCAGCGTTTAAGGCGCAAAGGCGCCAGCGCTCATGGCGCCAAGGCGCCAGGGCTCATGGCGCCAAGGCGCCAGCGATTAAGGCGCCAAGGCGCCAGCGTTTAAGGCGCAAAGGCGCCAGCGCTCATGGCGCCAAGGCGCCAGCGATTAAGGCGCCAAGGCGCCAGCGTTGAAGGCACCAAGGTGCCATTGCTCATGGCGGCAAGGTGCCAGCGTTTAAGGCGCCAAAGGTTGACGATGACCACCTAGCACTTAACGCGCCTATCACTCTTGTACTCACGAAACATGTCGTTAGTCACGTGCGCTTGCAGGGGCGTTTTCCACGAGCGGTTTCATGGTCACGTGCGCTTGAGAATAAAGAGCTGATGCTCGTACTAGCGTGAGGTATTGGCGTGAGGTAGTACGGGGTAATCCGGGAGGTACTAGCGGTAGCATGATGTACTAGCGTGACGGTACTAGCGTGAGTGGAAAGAACTAGTTTCTTGTTCTTGGGTTTGGTTGGGTTATCGAGGTGGTTTCACATGTGTGTGAGCTCGTGAAATTCAGCTGACTCAGCTGATGCACTACTGTACATTTCATGTGCAGTTTGCGTCAGCTCCACAAAACGAGACGAAAGCGAAAACGAAGCGCACGTTCCCCATAATAGCAGAGTCAGATCTACACCATAAATAACCACATAGTACATGCTGATATTATTTAATCTTAATTCCACATAATTGAGCATTATGTGTGAGATAGAGAAGCAAATGTAACGGAAGAAGGATACGGACATACCTAAGAAGATGAAAAAACAAACTAACAAAAGATTTTTTATAATGGTGCTGCATTTATTATTAGTACGATATTCAACTTCTACGCAACCCTTACGACGTTCATCGTCGAGCCTTGTTTTTTTTATGCAAGGTACGTCTGAGCGCATGTGCGTTTTGCCACGTATCCGAGTCTTTCGTAGTTGTGTAATATGCTTTCGTTATAGCACTCGCGAGGTTGTTCAGTGGCGCGTCTGACGTTGCATGTTGCAGGTTTGTTCCGAGGCGACATGTCACTCGAACCACCAACGCCATCTGTTTGTCCGTGCGATTTCGGGGAGTGCGTGCAAGCTCAGATTCGCTTCGTCTGGCAGCTCAGGTATTTCGCGAAACCACACCCATGCAAGAAGTCAATTTCGCGAATCAATCTCCCGCATGTTGCGCGTTCGCTTTTCCGTCGTTTCGTGTTTCAATCTTGATGAGCAAATTCACCGATCAATTTCGTACGTAGTTGTCGCGTTTCAGTTTCCCGTTTCAACTCTGCAATACTAGATCTGATTTCGCAGATCGATTTCGTATCACAGTACGTCGTTTCGCGAGATGGTTCCCTGACGTACGTTTCCCGATCGGTTTTACACATGGTTGTCGCCGCGTCTTTCCACCCACTGCAGGTTGTCGTCGTTCCCACCCTCCACGACGGGTGACAACCACTCTCGAGACCTGCGAGTTTGGGCACACACGCGGCGCTCTCTGCGTCTCCCACCCCAAGCTAAGTCCTCCCAACCCTCGTACTTGTGTTGCCTTCCATGTCTCCCTTGTGTTGCTTCCATCAAACTCCCTCATTTACTGCCCTCTGTCGCACTCAAGAGACCTCCCTCCCCCAAGGTAGCAAGGTATCAGGTACGTGCTCAGGTATTTAGCTGGTATGAGGTCTCTTGGGTGTGCCACTGCAGCAGTCCATTCATGCGCACATCATCTCTGCTCTCACTTCACTCACTTGCCCTTGTTTCTTTCCGCACTGCCCTCCCCACCCTCAAATCCCGTCCTCTACGCCCTTCTCTCTGTCCTGATCTTCGCCCTCTCGTCCCAGCAGGTTGCTCACGCGGGAGTGGCAGTGGCGGGGGACATGGAGTGCACAGGCAGCAGCTGCTCTCCACCCAACCCACTCTCAGCTAAGCTAAGTACCCCGCCTTGCCTCTCTCCTCCCAACTATCGTAATTGTTGCCTTTCATGTCTCGCTTGCATGATACATCAAACTCCCTCCTTTACTGCCCTCTGTCGCACTCAAGAGACCTCCCTCCCTCAAGGTAGCAGGTACGTGCTCAGGTATTTAGCTGGTATGAGGTCTCTTGGTTGTGCCACTGCAGCAGTCCATTCATGCGCACATCATCTCTGCTCTCACTTCACTCACTTGCCCTTGTTGCTTTCCTCCCTGCCCTCCCCACCCTCAATTCACGTCCTCTCCTCCCTTCTCTTTGTCCTGATCTTCCCCCTCTCGTCCTAGCAGGTTGCTCACACGGGAGTGGCAGTGGCAGGGGACATGGCGTGCACAGGCAGCAGCTGCTCTCCACCCAACCGACCCACAGCTAAGCTAAGTACCCCGCCCTGCCTCTCTCCTGCCTTTCATGTCTCGCTTGCATGATACATCAAACTCCCTCCTTTACTGCCCTCTGTCGCACTCAAGAGACCTCCCTCCCCGAAGGTAGCAAGGTATCAGGTACGTGCTCAGGTATTTTGCTGGTATGAGGTCTCTTGGGTGTGCCACTGCAGCAGTCCATTCATGCGCACATCATCTCTGCTCTCACTTCACTCACTTGCCCTTGCTTGTTTCCTCACTCCCCTCCCCTCTCCTCAATTCCCGCCCCCTCCTCCCTTCTCTTTGTCCTGATCTTCCCTTTCTCGTCCCAGCAGGTCGCTCACACGGGAGTGGCTGTGACGGGGGACATGGAGTGCACAGGCAGCAGCTGCTCTCCACCCAACCCACCCACAACTAAGCTAAGTACCCCGCCCTGCCCCTTCCCTCCCAACCCTCGTATTTGTGTTGGCTTTCATGTCTCGCTTGCATGATCCATCAAACCCTCCTTTACTGCCCTCTGTCGCACTCAAGAGACCTCCCTCCCCCACAGTAGCAAGGTAGCAGGTACGTGCTCAGGTGTTTAGCTGGTAAGAGGTCTCTTGGGTGTGCCACTGCAGCAGTCCATTCATTTGCTCAGCATCCTGCAATCACTTCACTCACTTGTCCTTGCTTTATTCCTCACTGCCCTCCCCACTCCTCAACTCCCGTCCTCTCCTCCCTTCTCTTTGTCCTGATCTTCCCCCTCTCGTCCCAGCAGGTCGCTCACACGGGAGCAGCAGTGGCGGGGGGCATGGAGTGCACCAGCAGCAGCTGCTCTCCACCCAACCCACCCGCAGCTAAGTACCCGCGCTGCCTCTTGCGTTCATTTTCGTGCCATTTCAATCCTTGCTGCATCTCCTGCCGCTTGTGCATTCAAACACAAGCTGCCGGTTGAGCCAAAGCTTCAAGCCACAGACACCTTTTCTTGGGTAAATTCCCCCAGGTACTGCAGGTATTCTCTCAGGTCTGCAGGTAAACCTCCCTGGGTGTGTACCTCTCTTGGGTCTGTGGCTTGTAGCTGAGGCTGCACCAGTGGCCCCCTTCTCTGCTCCCACATGCCATCTCATGCACTCGTCTCACATTTCTACCCCTAGCCGCTTACTCACTTCTCTTCAGTTCTCTCCTTGCTGGTTGAGGGGAGGGGTGTGGGGGTCAACACCGCCACTTCCCTGCGCTCCTCCCCTGTGGCCATGCAGGTGGAAGTGGTGGGAGAGGAGGGGGAGCAGACGAGGGGAGGCGAGGGGCAGGCGAGGGGGAGGCGAGCGGGAGGCGAGGGGGGCAGCAGGGCAGCAGCCCGGCCTCATCAAAGGTTGAGGTTGCAAGTATCGCCCCTGCCACCACACTCCACATGAGCCCGCTCCCCCTCAGGTTCAGGTTCAGGTTCAGGTGCAGGTTCAGGTGCAGGTTCAGGTTGGTAGTGGCTCTTGTGGGGTTGTGGGCGGCGTCACGTGCACTGTCGTTTCTGCATTCGCACTGCTGTCACGTGCTCTTCTCACTTGCAAGGGCCGCTCCCTCCTGCCGGTCATGTACTCGCTCTCTCTCTCCCTTCTCTGCCTTGCAGGTCCTTCCCTTCAAGCCTTTCGCCCACTCGGCATTAACGCACCCCCTCCGCCTACACCACCACGCCTCCTTGAACCTTGCCTCTCATTCTGCTTCATGTATTTCTTTTCCATTCCGTCTGCTCTCAAATCTCACCACTCGTTGGGGCGCAACTCGCAAGCCACAGACCTCCCACTTGCTATTCCAGGTAAACCCCTCAGGTTCAGGTTCAGATTTAGCCCCCCTCACAGTTTTACAGCCCCTCAGGTCCCCTTGGGGGTCTGTGCCTTGTGCTTGTGCCTCAACCAGTGGCCTCTCCCCCTCTCATTTGCCTTGCATGCTCTGCTCTTGCACTTGCACCCTTCGTCCCCTCGCTACCTACTCACCAGCTCTGCGTGTGTGCCTTGCAGGTGGGGGGGAGGGGTGTGGGGTCAGCACCGCCATTCCCTCACGCCTCTCCCCGGCGGCCGTGCAGAGAGGGACGCACACGGGAAGGCTGGGAGGAGGGCTGCCGGGGAAGGAGTCACCTGCTGCTGCTGCAGCTGCCCTGTGCTCGCTCTCACGTGTTACAGCTAAGTTCCCTCAACCCCTTGCCTGCCTTGCCATGTCTTGTGTACTTTGCTGGCATCTCGTGTTTGCATGCGCTTTTGCACCTTCCTCTTGAAACAGCGCCACTGGTTGGGACCGCCTCACATGCTGCAGTGCAGACCCCCTCACTTCAGGTAACCCTCTCAGGTGCGGGTACCTCCTCAGGTGCAAGTGTGCAGGTACCCCCTCAGGTGCAAGTGTGCAGGTACCCCCTCAGGTGCAAGTGTGCAGGTACCCCCTCAGGTGCAGCCCTTGGGTCTGCAGTTTGTGACTTGGCCTCCACCAGTGGCCCCTCCCCTCTCCCGCCTTGCAAATGCCGTTCCCTCTCTTGCACTTTCACCATTCATCCCCTCGCTGCCCACTGACCAGCTCTGCGTGTGTGCCTTGCAGGTGGAGGGGAGGGGCGGGGGTCAACACGGACGCTTCCCCACGCCCCTCCCCGGTGGCCGTGCAGGTAGCCGTGGGGATGGGAGGGAGGCAGCACTGCCAATCGCTGCACCAAGGGAGAGCATCGGGGTGGGCTTGGCCTCTCAAGGTACGTCACCTCCCCTCTTGCCTATCTGCTCTTCAATTCTGCCTTCTCGTATTCATCAACTTCAGTGATTTTTTTTCTGGTCATGCCAACTCAATTCCTGTTACTTCCCCGCCTGTCTGCTGCCCCTACCAGGTCACTTGGCATTCAACAGGAGGCATGCACTGGAGGAGAATGGGAGGGGAGCAAGGATGACGCAACAGCTCTCTCAAAGGCTCTTCCTTTTCCAGTTAAGTGTGTGCCCCTCCTTGATCCCTCAACTCTGCTGGCTTGTCTTGCTGGATTCGTCCTTGTCACTGCTCTTCTGTTTTTGGTTCGTCCCTCAAACTGTGTTCACTGGATGGGGCTTATTTCGCAAGCAACAGACGCCCCTTGGAAACTCCAGGTAAGCGCCTCAGGCTCAGGTTCAGCCTTGGTAAAGCCTTACAGCCCCCTCAGGTTCACCTCTACTGCTTGGTCAACCCTCAGGTGTCGCTGGGAGTCTGTAGCTTGTGCGTGTGCCCCTGCCAGTGGCCCCTCCCCTCTCTCTCCGCCCTGCCTGTGTCCATCGCACCTCTCAAATCTGCTCATGTCAGGACTTCCCACTGACCAGCTCTGCGTGTGTGCCTTGCAGGTGGAGGGGAGGGGCGGGGGTCAACACCGACGCTTCCCCACGCTCCTCCCCTATGGCCGTGCAGGTACCCGTGGGGATGGGAGGGAGGCAGCACGGCCAGTCGCTGCCACAAGGGAGAGTATCGGGGTGGGCTTGGCCTCTCAAGGTACGCCACCTCTCCTCTTGCCCTCATCCCATTTACCTTTCTGCTCTTCAATTCTAGCTTCTTGTTTTTTTGTCAATTTCAGTTCTTTTTATACTGGTGATGCCAACTCACTTGCTTTTTCTCCCCCTCTTTCTTCTGCCCCCACTAGGTCACTTGGCATGGAGTGAAGACTGAAGCAGACGAAGCTGAGTAGCAGACCGGCAGAAGCAGTTACAGCAGCAGAAGCAGTGGGGGGTGGGGTGTAGGGGGCAGACTAGGTTAGGTCGAGTCATGAGCGAGGTATGGTATCAGGTAAGGTATGGTAACAGGTGTGTTGTCTGATTCCCTCCTCTCTCTTTCTCTACCCCCCTCCCCTTCTAGCAGCCTGAAGGAGGGAGGGAGCACTGGAGCATGGCGAAACAGAGGCATTCCTTCTCTTAACTCCCCCCCCCTTCTCTCCCTCCTCCTCCCACTTACCAGCAGCCTTGGCATCATGGCGTTCTAAACGGCTACGGTAAGTACAGGTAAGGAGGCATGGGGTGAAGGGATGGGGGTGGGTGGGGAGCATGGGAGCAAGTGGGCAGCTCACGGCCTTAGGGGCAGCACCTCTGGGGTTGTGTCTTGTTGGTCGAGGTGAGGTAGGTGGAATCTCTGCGGCACGGCACTCGGTGCTCAAGTAACCGATCTGGCGTTCAAGGCCTAATGGACACCGTCAGAGCCGACCGGCCGGCGGCTCTGGTTCGCGTCAGCTCTGGCCACGTCAGGGGTGGGATTTGAGTCTTGGGCTGAAAGCAATTTTCCACTACCGCTCCTCGCACTGCAAGGCACAGCCTTTGGGCGTGCTGTTTCCGAAAGGAAGTGGGCTGTCTGCTGCTCCTACTGCTGCGAGGTGAAGGTGGGGAAGGGGCTGCGTGTTTGGGCAAGGGTGGTGGTGTGTGGTGGGTGGTGTGATATTGTGTGGTATGATATTGTGTGGTATGATAGAGTGTGATAAGATAAGTGTGTGGTCTGATTCAGTGTGCTATGATATAGTGTGGTATGATTTAGAGTAATATGATAATAGTGTGGTCTGATAGAGTGTGGTATGGTAATATGGTATAGTGTCGTATAAACTGTGGGGTATGATATAGTGTGGTATGAAAGCGGGTGGTATGATGGAGTGTGGTATATTCAGTGCGGTATGTATTAATATACAGTCTGGTAATGTACAGTGTGGTGTGAATCCAGTGAGGTATGATACAGTGAGGTATGATATAGTTTGATATGATATAGTGTGTTCTGATACATTCTGGTACTGTACAGTGTGGGATGGTACAGTGGGCCGTATGATACAGTGTGGTGTGATGGCGTGTGGTGTGATGAAGTGTGGTATGATACAGAGTGATATGATATAGTGTGGTCTGGTACAGTGTGGTATAAAACTGTGCTACGATTTAGTTTGATATGATCTAGTGTGGTCTGATACATTCTGGTACTGTACAGTGTGGTATGGTACAGAGGGCCGTATGATACATTGTGGTGTGATGGAGTGTGGTGTGATGCAGTGTGGTATGATACAGAGTGGTATGATGTAGTGTGGTATAACACAGAGTGGTATGATATAGTGTGGTCTGGTCTGGTACAGTGTGGTATGAAACTTTGGGGTGTGATATAGCGGGGTATGATATAGTGTGGCATGTAAGAGGTTAGTATGATGGAGTTTGGTATATTCATTGCGGTATGTGTGATTGAGTCAGGTACTATACAGTGTGGTATGATACATGATACAGTGTGGTGTGATACAGTGTGATATGATAGAGTGTGGTCTGATACTGTGTGGAATGGTATAGTGTGGTATGAAACTGTGGGGTATGATATAGCGTGGTATGATTTAGTGTGGTATGAAAAAGGGTGGTATGATGGAATGTGGTATATTCAGTGCGGGACGTATGATACACTTTGGTACTATACTGCGTGGTATGGTACAGTGGGGTATGATTTTTGGGGTGTGAATGCAGTGTGGTGTGATACAGAGTGGTATGATCCAGTGTGATGTGATGGAGTGTGGTCTGCTACAGTGTTGTATGGTATAGCGTGGTATGAAACTGTGGGGTATGATATAGGGTGGCATGATATAGTGTGGTATGAAAGAGGGTGGTATCATGGAGTGTTGTATTCAGTGCGGTATGTATGATACAGTCTGGTACTTGGTTTGGTACAGTGGGGTATGATACACTGTGGTATGATGCGGTATGGTAGATACTGTGTGATGGCGTATCATGGTGTGTCATGGCATGTTTGTTGTATCTGATGGTGTGGCATGGCATGATGTAACAACTCCTGGTGTGGCATGTTTTTCTTGTGCATGTCATGGAGTGGCATCTCATTGATTTTGCATGGCATGGCATGGCATGGCATGGCGTGGCATAGCATGGTGTGACATGTCATGAGGTGGCATGGCGTGGTCTGGCATGGCATGGTGTGGCATGTCATGAGTTGGCATGGCATGATGTGGCATGGCATGGCATGGCATGGTGCAGGCTGGCAGCAGCTGGAGGGAGGAGAAGAGAAGGAAGGCAAGGAGGACACTGCGGGAGGGAAGAGGATGGATGCGGAGTGTAGGTGTATGGCATGTAGCAACCATGCTGTCACACTGCTGTACATTTATTTCTTCAACTCGTGAAACGGCTTGAGTCTGCTCAGAGCTCAATGTGTTTTCATGGTAAAACAATGGACATACCTTATGCGCCCCATGTACGGTACTGTAGCTCTGGCATTCAAATATTACGTGTCTTGTGTAGCCTTTGTAATGTTCCTACAGTGAATATTGGCGCCAATGCTCCAGTCCAACAGCCATGGTTCACAATTGTGGTACCAGTATATTCCTGGTCCGCCCAATGATGTTGTTGACTCGTTCTGTGTACTTATTATACTGCTATATGTAGTACAGTCGGAGTAGTGTAGTAGGTGTTCAACCCAACGTTACATCTTCTACCCAGCCACGCTATCTCATCTGTTACATGTTATGCATGCCAGAGGTATTACCAGGAGTGCCCAGGATCCATGGCCATGCCATTCTGTATTGGCTTGCACATGCACTGCCTAGTACCTACTGTTAGGCTGAGAAAGCCCTTAGGATCTTTGCATGGGTAAACTCTGGGTAGAGTTGGTGTAGTAGCGGAAGCGTTAATAAAGAGTTGTGAACCACCTTGCGCTAGTATGTGAGGGCAAAGTAAGTTGATTAAAACAAAGAGATTCAAGATTATATAAGAATACAAAGAATATGAAAGGATACGGTCATAACTGTTTTACTTGTTGCTGTTGAGGTTCGATACAGTGACGACTCGGGCAACTGCTCTATAACGAGTCAGTTGTGTGTCCTTGCTGTCGCGCTGTATTTGTCAGGTCAAAGGTCGCTAACCTTTGACTTTCGCGTAACCTCCAGCAGTTACTTCAACCTCCGAGGGTTGACTCGCTGGTGCCTCGATATGTTTTGCTTCGCTTGTGCCTTGGTGTTTCGACGCGACAGAGGCGCTCAGGACCAATTGTTTCCAGCACCTACCAGACACCACCAAGTACCTGGAAATCAGCCACTCAAATCATTTGTGGATGAACCTAATCCTGGTGTAGTAACAACCGTCTTTGACTGCAACCAAAAACCAACCAAGAAACCAACAGGAACACTGCCTCCTCTCCTCTTCCACCCTGCATCCAACCTCTAACTTCAAGCCCTTTCTCCCCCAACCCAACTCCCACCCCCTCTTAACCCCCACCCTTCACCCTCTTTCCCAATTCCCTCACCCCGAAAACCCCCTGCGGTACTTGCCCTTGCCCACCACACCCCACGGCAGGCGCCCTGAGAAAAGCTGCGAGGAGCACGTGGTGAAGAGTGCAGCCATCTCTTTACACCCACTGGGATACGGCACCACTCGCACAAACGGGTCTCTCAGCCTCCGCTTCTGCCCCAACGCCCCCCCGCACCCGTATGGCTCCTTTTCAAATGCTGCGAGCGTGCGCGCCTCCCCTTTGGCTGCGGATTCGCGGGCTGACTCGACGATGGGCGAGCCGAGAAAGGAGAAGCGGTGCGAGGGGAAGCGCAGCGCCCCGCGGTGCATCTGAGAGAAGCGGAACTTCTTGAAGTCGTAGCTCACGACCTGAGGGGGTTATAGGGGTTAAGGGAGGGGGGTCGAGAGAGGGGGGATGAGAGAAGGAAAGGAAAGGGTGTTGGGGGCGAGAGGAGGAGGTGAGAAGTGGAGGGAAGATGGAATCAGGGATTAGCAGAGGAGCAGAGGATTGCGAACATTACATTGACATGATACTGCTGAGCACAGCGCCACGCACGTACAGTGATGTTGTTGGGATATGCCCCTGTGAGTTGGCGGAAGCGGCACACGCTGAACAGCAGGTTCTCAAAGCTGTCCCTCGCATACTCCTCTGTCAGCGCCCTCCCTCTTACTTCCGTGTGCCCTGCGCTCACATGCCATGCGTTCATGAGCCATGCATTCAGATGCCATGCATTCACATGATATGCGATCAGAGGCAGCATGGGGTAGGGCAAGGTTGGAGAAGGGCAATAAGGACCAAATTCAGCGCATCTACTCCCCAACCCCTAATCACTTCACCACTTCCGAACCTTTCCATTCCATCTCGTTCCTCTCTCCTTTCCCCACTTCCTCTCTCTGGACAAGCCCCCCAGTCCCCTTACCAAACCAGCTCAGTTTCTCCGCAGCGTTCCAGTAGCTCTGCGCCTCGCTCCGCGGCCCCGCATCCCTGCGCGTCTCCCCGCCACTGAACAGCAGCAGCGCGCTGCTATCCTCCGCCGCGGCCGACACTCCGAGTCGTATATGCTCCACGAACGACGACGCGGCGCCGGAATTCAGCTGGTACGGCTCGAGATGCCATGACTGGTCCGCATCTAGCGGCGCACAAGACGGGCTGGTGTACACAGAGTGACCAGCGACGAGGATGAGGTTAGTGAGCGGAGCGAAGGGGAACGGGGACAAAGGGTCCGACGCTACTCCCTGCTGCTGCTGCGCGTCCGATGCGGCTGCGTCGTCGATGGCGGAATCGGCAGCGGAGCGGGTGAATCGGAATCGCGGGAGGGGGATGAGGGCGTGCGTGAAGTGCGTGAGCGACGCGAGGCCGATGACGACCAGCAGAGCTATGACGAGGAAGGGGTAGAAGAAGCGCGGGGACGGGGTGATGAGGGAGGAGACGAAGGAGAGGACGGGGGACGAGGGGAGGTTATGCGAGTGGTGCGCGTGGCGACCGTGGTGCGTAGAGTGGTACAGATGATGGAAGGTGCGGCGGCTGCGGTGCGGATTCCCTTGCGGGGACATTCCTGACGGCAGCATCGTGACTCGTGACGCTGGAGTGCGGACGGCTTAGATTGGATCGTATCGGATTCGAGCAAATTAGATCGACTTGGATCAAATCACACCAATTTCCTGGCGTCGTACTCCAACCGGACACGCCAGTACGGAGATAAAATCTTTGCGTCAACGAAACGACGCCCTCATGAATGAC